CCTCCTCCTCCTCGTCCTCCTCCTCCTAGCTTGGGTCCGAGTAGATGGGGTCGGAGGACCGCGCCGCACCGCCGATGCGTCGGCGACGCGGCTCCGTGCGGAGCCCGGTCTTCTTCGCGCCGACGCGCCGCCGATGCGTCGCCGACGTCGCCGGGTGCGCTGCCGGTGCATCGGCGATGCGTCGCCGGTGCGGCGCGGTCCTCCGGCCCCAGCTGCTCCGACCCCGGCCGGGAGGCCTCCATGCGACGTCTCCCCGAGCTGGGGATCGGGGGCGTCTCGCGCGGGGAGGGGGCACCGCAGCTCACCAGCAGGACACCCCCTTTGGCTCCTCTCGCCGGTGGTCGTGGTGCCGCTCTTGCCAGCTCTCTCCGCACAGAGGCTCGAAGAAGGATAACGGCGCAACCATGAGCTTTTGGAGCTCCGCGTGGATTTCTTGGATTTGCGCTGGACCCCGTTCCCTGGCGCGGAGCGCGCCACGGGCGGCGCCGGAGGCGCCGCCAGGGGGCGCCAGCGCAGATCCGGGAATTCCGCGTGGAGCTCCGAAAGCTTATGTTTATGCAGTTGTTTCGTGTCTAATTGTCTTGGGAGCGGGAGCAGCAGGCGCAGGGGACCCCAGCGCAGTTTCTGATTGTGCCGTTTTTCCGTCTTCTCACCGCGTTGGGAGCAGCAATCGGATTGTCCGCCTGTCAGCGCATCGCGTCCCGTGGGATACAAAGTCTTCCTAGGGTGTGCAATCGAGCCGCCTGGAGCGCAATCCACTATTTATTTACTCTTTGTGTGCGTGTGTGTGTGCCCGCACGCTGTCACCTGCCACAGTTTTCCTTGCCAGTGCGCCGTCTGGGCGCGGCTTGTGTCTGTCTGTCTGTGTGTCTGTCTGTCTGTCTGTCTGTCTGTCTGTCTGTCTGTCTGTCTGTCTGTGTGTCTGTCTGTCTGTCTGTCTGTCTCTCTGTCTGTCTCTCTGTCTGTCTGTCTGTCTGTCTGTCTGTCTGTCTGTCTGTCTGTCTGTCTGTCTGTCTGTCTGTCTGTCTGTCTGTCTGTCTGTCTCTCTGTCTGTCTGTCTGTCTGTCTGTCTGCCTGTCTGTCTGTCTGTCCGTCAGCGGGCGCCTCGCAGTGGGAGGCACCTCCGTGCCGCGCCACCGATCGCCGACGGCCTCCCAGACACAGAAGCCCCGAGGCTTCGGCAGGTCCGCGCCTCGCCAGTGGCCCAGAGCCGATTAAGACTGGCGGCGAGCGAGTGGCTCTCCGCCCCCCGAGCGCGCCGAGCCGGTCCACTCTGCCCGGCCCCCCCTCTCCAGTGGCATCTCGGCGGCGAGCGAGGGGGGGGGGGGACATTTTCGGGATCGAGGTTCGAGGTTTTCCGACGAATTCGTCGGTTCTCGGTGGTTTTCCAGACTCGGGATGCTTGCCAGCAGCTGCGCCTCGCCGCGGACGTTCTGGGGGTGCCTGGATCGTCCCAAACGCCCGCCAGAGACCCGAGTCATGACCCAACAACCAAATTCTAGACGCTTCGCGTATCCCCACCAGCCCGTCCAGAAACGACGCCCAGGCGAGTAGAGGGTCGTCCTGAGGGGCTTTTCGGCGTCTTGGGTGCCTCGGGGGGGCCTCTGTGGGCCGTTCGGGATCCTCTTTGGGGCCTCCTGGGGGCCTCTTGGGGCCTCTTGGGGCCATCTTGGGGCCTCTGGGAGCACCTTGGGTGCCTCTGGGGGGTCTCTTGGGGCCTCTTGGGGGTCTCTTGGGGGCCTCCTGGGGGCCTCTTGGGGGGCCTCTTGGGGCCATCTTGGGGCCATCCTGCGGCCTCTTGGGGCATCCTGGGGGCCTCTTGCGGCCATCGTGGAGGAAATCGATCAAAGAAGAGGGGTTCCTAAATTTCAGCCCCCCCCTCAGGAGCCACGATCCTCGTGAGGGGTGTCGAATTTTAGCCCTCCCAGGGGTCGTTCTTGGACGCTCTACCTACCCGCGGCCCCCCCTGTCCAGGTCAGTGGGGAGGGGGTAGGGGGAGGGGTAAACCCCTCCCCGAAGGGGAAGAAGGAGGGGTGGAAGAGGAAACTCGTTAAACCACCGACGCCCAGAGGGCTGGTGGGATTCTGCAGCGAGCGGGGGGGGGGTATGAGAAGGAGAGGGCCTTCTCAGAAGGCGGCGGGACTTCCCAGAAGCCCTCGCGCCTTCCGGGAGGTTTTCTCAGCGTCCTCGGGGAAGGCTCAGGAGACTTCTCAGAAGGCCAGGGGACTTCCGAGCCTTCTGAGAAGGCCCGGCCCTTCGCACTTCCCCCAAGGGCTCGCCGCCGAGATCCTCCTGCTGCTCCTCCTCCTCCTGCTCCTCCTCCTCCTCCTGCTCCTCCTCCTGCTCTTCCTGCTCCTCCTCCCCCTCCTGCTGCTCCTCCTCCTCCTCCTCCTCCGCTGCCGAGATCCTCCTCCTGCTCTTTCTCCTGCTCCTCCTTCTCCTCCTCATGGCCTCCGAGGAAGCCGTCCCCCCCTGATCTAGGCTTACGTCGGGCGTGTCC